AACCAAAAATAGATTAAAAATTTTTAGGAAGTTTAATTATAAATCTGTTAATAAAAGAAATTGGAAATAAATATAGCTCTTGGCTTTCATTTTGAGAAAACAATAGATGGAATAGGATAGATTGGGATCAGTTTGGCACATATGTTACATGTTACATTTAAATAAACGATCCTGTATTGTGACAAATTTGATTGGTATACAATGGTTTACAAGGGAGTCGGTCGTATCACGCCACGGGATGGCACGGGGGATAACGAAGTATTGAATCGAAGGTACAAGCGTAAGTGGAATGCAGCGATGAATGAAAGCGCAAACTGGAAGACGCTATTTTTCCCTCTTCTCTCCCTCCTTTAGCCGTTGAAATGCTTATTCTCTTGCGCGATCTCGTTCCGTCTACGTGTCAACGCTGCGCTTGTCGATGCAAGTTCAGAAACATGACTTTTTTATGTTTTTTCTTGTTACGTGAATATATCTACAGACATTCTGCTCGACATAGAGTTCAATTCTTGTCCCGAAGATATCATAAAGTCCTTGTAAATTGTATGACTTCGTCAGAAGTAACGACGAGTACGCTAAAGGCTCATCTGCAATGTGCTTTTTACGTCTTGCTTCTTGCTTTTTGCCTATTGCCTTTTTACCTCTCTGTGCCCTTTTATTTGTTTTTTGTCTTCTGAAGGTAAAAGTTGATGAACTCCGAAAGAGACGAGAAACATGTGACAAGAAACGATTTTCACACGATTGTCAGAGCGCAAAAAAACAAAAGGCAAGAAGCAAGAAACAGGAAGCAAAGAACACAAATGAATTGCTTTAATATGGCAAGTGCGTCGAGCAAAATGAAATGTTTATTCGGTTTCGTCGCGACGTATAAAACTGGCGATTAATCTGTTTATGATTGGCTATTGCGGAAAATCTCCGAATATTTCCTGCTCCCTAAAATCGGAGCAACACATAATCACACAATTATACATGTAAACATAATCAAGTAGTTATAACACACGAAAATGCAAAACTCTCTGTCTCTGCACGTCTCCTCTGGATGATAATTTGAGTAAACGAAGTGCTTCTACAACGATAATTGGCAAAAACCGATCGACATTTGCCTCGATCAGATTCACCACGAACCTAGATTCGAGTAAAATTTTAAGTAAAATTTAAAGTGCTCGAGAGCATTTGGAGTCATCCATCGAAGACGTGTATCCTCGAGTCTCTCCGGTGCAGGGACATAGGAAATCCGGTTGGGACACCCCGATTACGTTTGCATATTTTTTCGCGCGCTCATATTCCGTGGCTCATCCATGCAACTCCGCGTTGCCGGATTAATTGCGTTACTTCGCGATTTTTTTGTCGTGAATTCGGGGATAGAAAAAGGTGTCACGATGAACATTAACACGAGAAACGTTAACGGTAACGGACGATCGGGACACGTCGCGATTGCACGGCGCGCCGACGGTTTTTCGATTATCTTAAATCACTCGCACGTACACGTCCTCACGTGATTGTGCGATATACACCTGTTAGTTAATTACACTGGGCATTCGATATAATCTCGGGATGGTTTCTGCTTTCGCTCGACGCTCGATCCCTTCTGAATTTCCTCCTCGTAACGTCATCATTATCCTTGTTCTCTTTTTATTTTGAACGATTTAATATCCGATACGCATTATCTATCGCTTTATTAATCGGTGATAGATAACAATTATTCGTAATAAGAAAGTCTGACGATATGATAGATTGATCGATCTCGACGGCCACCACGAGTAAATCTCTTCTACGAAAGTGAATATCCTGTATAATTTACATTTCGCGTATAATTTGTATTTCGATCAGCACGATTTCATTAGCACAATCTCTTTTTTCAATTTCTGCGATTGTTTTTGCACTGGATTTGTAGATATTGCACGCAATATATTTAAGATATTTTGATATATAATAATTGATTTTGAATCATCAATGATAAGTGTACAAAATTATTGAAATATATCTTTCATCTTTTCTCTTTCAAGAAATAAATTCGAATTATTTCGTTGTAAAATCGTGTTTATCGAATACATCAAACAGAGTGATGCATATGACGCGTGTAAACTTTCCATGATTGCAAGACACAATGTGAAGAGATATCGCGATAAATTGGCTATCCGGTAATATTTGCGATATTTACCTGGGAATTGGAAAATGTGCGTCGAGCGTCCATGTTTGTATGGACGAGATGCACCTCGGAAAAACGAAAAATCAACTTTACACGTGGCGGCTCGTAATTTGGCTTCCGATTTCCCCCGCCGTCACGTCCGACACTGAAGCGTGAGCTAAATTGCGGTTATTTTTATATGCGAAATGCGTTCCCGAGCGCATTAAAATTCAGCATGATTCTAATTATCGATTAAGCTTGTATCGTAAAAATGACGTTTCTACAAAGCATTTTGCGACCGCTTCATTTACTTCGCCGTTAAAATTTATGCGTCGATTTATTTGTCGAATATTTCGTCGACAAATGTATTGTCGAACGTGTACAGGAATTAATCTGAAATACGATCAACGCGAGATTATTTGTGTTTGAATTTGATCCTCTTGTATCTTTCTAATATCGAATTATTCGTATACGCGTATTACGCCGTGGGAATAAACGATATCCCATGTATATGAAATATCGATTTTTCAAGTGTTAAACGATATTACTGTACATTCAACACTGGAAATTAAAAATTTTCAACGTCACGATATCTACAATAATTTTGATATTGCTAAGTGCTATTCAAAGACGTGAAAGTAAGTTGTACATGTCTCATAAACCTATATAACTGTTTGATTCGTCGATTAATATTTTCTTCTCATGTTCGTATCAGAGAGAAAGGAGTTGGAGCATTTTTTCTCGTATATTATACAAAATGGCACGTTATTGTTTGAAATAGTGAGTTGTGAGCATCGAACTCCGATCGATAAAGTGTTAAAGACGGTTTACGTAATCACAATCTTCTTAAGAATGTACATATTTGCAGTGTGCCTGTCGTAGATAATGTAGCGTCGAACTATATGGGCGGGAGATATCGTCTTTTGGCACGAAACCAACATGACCGTAAACGTCGTTTCGCGATTCAGATCGCGGCGATCCGTCGACGCACGGTAAGTCCCATTCTCCGTGAAGACGATAAGAAACGGGAAGCGGGATACCCGCATCCATCTATCGATTCAGACCGGCGCGATCTGACGCTGTTAGGTACTTATAACGCGTTTACACGATTAAATCCATACGCTCCACACACGCACTCCATTATCATAACTTACGCACATTCGTTTTCTCAATAAACGTCTATAAGTATATATATTTATATTTATATTTGCATTTATATTTATATATATATATATATTTATATATTTATATATTATATACTATATTTCGCTCGCAACACTCACACATCGGTGCGATTGTACACGCCCGCCTCGATTAAAAAACTCATGTGAGACTCCGCCATTTCCGGCGCCAGACTCCACTCTCGCGCATTGCACAAAATAGTTACCCCCTTATTACACAGTAATCGTAATTTATAATAATAATTATAATAACACTAGTAATAATAATAAGAATAATAGTTGCGTCGTCGTCACGATCGACAGTCTCTTTTGGCACGTGACGTTCTAATAATAAAATCGCGACGGCGAACTATCATCCACCGCGATCTTGTTATTTATTTTCCACCCGCAAGAACGCCGTTTTGTCTTTCTCGCTTGTTATGGCAGTAAGTGTGTAGTTTGAGTTGCTGGTTGCACATGCACCCATCCCAGGACCATCATACTATCGCAATATCGTGGCGACTTCATCGTCGCCGACGGTGAGAATCGGTTTTCATCATTTCTTTTTTTATTTTTATTTGATTCGCTCTCGTGGATATTTACAATATACAAAGGATTCGGTCGACAGGAATCTTCGTTTCCATTCGTGTCGCCGCTGCAGATCAGCTTTAATCGAAGCTTGGGAAATACTTTAGTTATATGTCCTCGAGCGACGACTTCGCCGATCTATAAGGATGTAGCTGCCCATTCTTCAAATCTGAAGAGCTCATGCTCCGATATATTTTCTATACTGATTCATTTGATTCTATTCTTTTTGGTAAATATTAAAAATCCCAAGATATTAGTTTGTAATAAAGTGTCATAATAATACTAATTTTTATCAAATGGTAAAATTTATTGTACAAAATTTGAATTTGGAATGTTGCAATTTGTAAAAAGTGGCATTTTCGCAATCACCCAACAATTGTTCTATTTTCTATGGATGAAATGATTCTTCGAATTAGATTATATTCTTCGAAGCGCGTGAAATAGACAATAGTCGCCGATAGTAATGTTTACAGGTTTCGATACGATGTGTTTGACATATTAATCTTGCTGTCATTCATCGAATAATCCGAAATCTCAAGTAACCCGATAGTTCTTCGCAATTCGAACGTGTCGAGAATCCAATTGTCATTTGCATAATTCTGTATGTTAAAATAATCGCATTCCAATTATTTATCAGAGGAACTAGTCTCTTCATTTTCCCCCAAGTCGTTACGTAAATACAACGCGTCATTCGTGGAAATGGCTATAAAACCATTTGATGTTGCGTCAAAATGTTACAAAGAGACAATTCTTTTCTTGATTTTCTAGAATCGTACAAAATCTTACAATTATTGCTCTATAAAAATATCAGTGTTCAGTCCACGTTCCAATTGCCTTTACTCGAGTTCAGGTCATTCGAAAATTTCTGGACGAAATTGCAAGAGCAAAGCTACCTCGTCGGCTCGAGTGCGTTCGAATATTTCGGCACAGCTATACTTTAACAGCTTAGATCATCGTGAAGACGTCGGGAAGACTCCGATCCCTGCCTTCGGTCGTTTCGGCATCTACGTGATGTACTCCGGTTTGTCGTTGAGGCCGGACCAGTGTCGCGGCGACGCCGGCGTCCATGGTACCGCTACATCGAGCGCCGCGATGCTGAGCTTTCGCTGAAAGATGTATTTCGGGCTCTTCCTTTTCGGGCTCTTCGGTGGCGAGTCCGCGAAGGTCACGCTCCTTCGTGGTCTCCTGGGCGGCGGGGGTGGCGGCGGGGGTGCCACCAGCGGTGGCGGCGGGGGTGTGGGCAGCGAATTAGCAGGCGATCCGTCGCTCGGGCTCTCCAGGTAACAATTTACACTTGGGTATGTGTATTGCTGTGTACCTGGTCGCCCTCGGTATTCCCAATCGCGTTTGCTGGAGCGTAGTACTGGAAATTTCAATGTCGATGATTAGGTAGTGTTAGGATCGTTTGAGCTAATACCTATCGCAGTTTCTCGATTATCAGAGACCGGTAGCATTTGGATCATATTTATGAATTAAGATAACAAAGTATAATTTTTTTCCTTTTAATATCTTTTCCTAAACATTGTCTGACTTTTTTAGTTTTATGTATTCGATTTATTGTATAGAAATTTTTTCCAGAAATGAAATTTGCACGCACTGATTACTTTTTCCCAACAATTAAGTTTATTACGATATATAACAATTAATAAACTAATATGTTGTTATAAATTAAGAAATTTAATTAGTGCAAATATTGATAGTTTTGATAACCGATCGTATTTGAATAATCTGGAAACTGAACTATATGCGATGGTATACTAGCTCAGATATACATATTGAAAAGGCGGACGAAGAATGTTACGTGATGAAATTTTCGATGATGATTTTCATGAATACAGAAATTACGTGAAAAACTGCAAGATTATATAAGTAATTTTTCTATCGTGAGTGAAACCTATTATTCCATATCTTTTCTTTCAATCCAGATTTTGCAACGTATGACTTAATATCACTAGCTATAATTTAATTATAAATAGCTATAATTTAATTTTCTCCAATTTAATAATACAGATGTATTTTATTATTGTTTGCGACAGCAGTTATGTAGCAGCTATTGATGCAAGCACTCGGGATTTATTCACACAATTTTTTATTTTAATTTCTCTGAAATAAATAGTAGATAAAGAAGCGTATGACAAGTTAAAATAACGAGAACATTATGAATGTCACAGTTTTTTCTACGACAGAAATATCTACAAAAGTGTCTAAATGAGTTTTTGTTTATCTTGTGGATGGACGATCGATCAAATACACGTGCACATAAGACATAAAGAGAACGAGTCAACAAAGCTACTCCGAATTCACGCTATTTGTAAATTTGTCGCTCATGTATAAGCTTTGCATCATGAATTATAAAATGTTACGTATCTTGTGGTTTGTTTGATATTCAAGAAATTTACTCATGTCATGTCATGTCAAATGAGCGCGAGTTATCCTAAGAGAGAAATCGGAACCTTGATAAAGGAAGTACGAAGCAAGTAAGTGTAGAGAAAAATGTGGGATAAAAAATGCGAAGTCGATAGTACGCGCAAGATAGTTGACTGACGTATAAATGGAGACTTTACAGTCATATCTAAAATATTGTAATACTACAGTATTATTTATACTGAGATGCTATTATTGAAATATTAAATTTTATATTCAACTTTATCAATCTTCCTCGAGACGACTGATTTTTAACGCGTTATCATAAATGGATGTATCAAAATTTGCAACATTCGGTGTAATAAATTTACTATTTATAAAGACATATATATATCTAATATTAAAGATTATATTTGCGGAAGATTGTTAAAATTGGAAAACACTTTAATATATTAAGCAGCTGCAAAGTGACGAGAAATTCGAGAGAGAAGCAGCTTTTTGCGTAGGTATATGTACATATTTAACTAGGTACTATCCAACTTTGAAAGAGGAGCGCAAAGGATACACCGTGCAGACAAATCCACACATTGACGTAGCAATGTAGGGAGGTAAAAAAAAATCTGAGATCTTCAAAAAATTTCCTGCGGAGCTCTTGATGCACCTGGTTCTCTTCAGTCATACCTTCGGCGCGAACGTAGTCAAAGTTGGTACCTCCGCAGCCAGTACTCGTTTCTTCCCGCGCTGTGAAAGGAATCAGTGTTACAAAAGATAGGAAATTCTGTGAAGATCTCAAGACTTTTTAAGTCCCTACTTATCTCTGTTTATTTTTTTTTTAAATATATATTTAAGCAAACTTGTATGAAAGCTAGCAGTATTAATAAGTTATTTTTATTGCATAAAATGTAAATTCAATATGTATCGATAAAATTATATATATTATCTTTCAAGACTAAGCTAATTTAAGATGATTTCCAAAGACAAATATGTGTATGTGTATAACATTGGCTTATCCCTCCACAAAGGACGGATAACGTCTCAGGATTTTTGTGATAGTATGATTTAAAGCCAAGCTGCGACTAAATCATGCAGAAGCTTCCGACGTAGAAAGCGAAAGAGAGAAAATGACGGAAACAATATGCAATCGAATCAGGAGAAAAAGCAAGAGTAAATACAAAAGGGGTTAAAATTAAGGGCGAGAGTACTCACATATGGTCCCGGGAAAGGCGCATGCATCCTCCGTCTAACTCTGCAGTCCGTACCACTAGAGAGACAAAAACCCAAAGTAGAACGAAACGCAAACGCAAACGAGCAAATTTTTACGCCCCCTCCTCCCTTACGTCCATCGAATAGGAGAAAGAAACAGAAAAGAGCGCAATACATCCAGCCAGCCGCACATCGCACGCACGTACGCATACATATGTAGATATATATTTTATATATATATATATATATATATATATATATATATATTGATCGGTCACTCAGTCCTCTGGTCGATCGGTCTCTTTGACACTGAGGCTGAAACTCTAGGACATTAAATGTAGCCAGCTTGAGTCCGGCGTAACTAAACGACAGTGTGTCAAACGTTTACGCTGCTAACTGCATGCCAAGCGTACTCTATGTCGTTCATCTATGTATAAATATAATGTATAGGTTTCATATGTATATATGCGTATGTATAATGTACGATGCTCTTGTTGCGAATGTATGTTTTATGATATACATCGATATCTTTGGTTCGAGACCGAAGTAATTGCGCGACTGGACGCACTGCCGATCGAGAAAGAGGGAGAGATCTATGCAGCTTATCACTTTTCCTCAGAATTAATGCGTAATTAAACGAAGGATTGAATAATTAATATGTATATATATTTGATGAAGAAGTATTCGTGTCTGTTATCGCAATAATAATATATTTATGTAGTTAATCGTGACGATAATTTGTTTCATGCTAATTATATCTTCGCATGATACATTGAATTGATTATACGTACAAGTTTATTATTATTAATCGCAGCAAACATATTTCTTGCTATATTTAATTTCCCGAGCAGTTTAATACGTCCATATAACATTGAGTAAACATTTAACGCAGCACGAAGCAAATATCGTTATAAATATTTTTCAATGCTATCTTTAACGTAACGTTATTTTATTTTCCTTGGATCGGCGGAACGTTTAGTCGAAGCGTCTCTTGCCAAACAATCTCTACTGATACCGTCTGCGAATATGCATATGCGAACATAATAAGAGATTTAATCGTTATCACTTACCCGTCCATTGTCGAAATCGCGACCACCACCGATGGTTAGTCGTGCTTTCGCCTTCATCGCGTCTGATAGTGGTATCTAAAAAGAAAATGGCATTTCATAAATGATCACAATCTTTCTCTTTATAAGAATTTTACGATTTCACAATTATTCAATGCGATTGACGATTATATCGATCATATATATTTTCTTGAAAAAAAATTCTTTCTCTCGTGTTACAGAAAAAAATATATATTTTTAATAATAATATATATTTTTTAAATAAATAACTTAAGTTTGAATTTATCTTGCTCATGATAAAGTATGCAAAATAGAAGTGTATAAAATTGTATCCTCTATCCGTTTCACGGCATTTCATTACCTTCGCTCTTGTCGCTTCTGTATGCGACTTGTAGCAGAATTCCAAGAGAGCTACGGCGAGCGCCAGAAGGAGACCACCGATGAGGATATAAAATATTCCTGCTACGTTGCTCAGTGATAATTCGTTTCTGGCTGTATCTGGTTTATCACTGTGCCTGCATTCCGTCCTTTCATACCACCATCGTTCGACCAGCTTTGCCAGTTCTCCATTTTCCTTCAGTGACAGCACCGCCAAGTTTATGGGATCCCTGTCACCGTCAAATTTATGGAATCATATCATCGTCACGTGAAAATGCCATCAAATGTTATACGAGTTGCGGAGAAAATATCGTAATCTATAAAAACGTGTTATTTTTACAACAATTTTCTAGCAGGTATCTTTGATGTTAATGATATATTAGAGTACGAGATGATCAAAATACGATCTAATTACAAATAATCGAAGAATATTGAAATATAATAGCAATGCGTCTAACAAGATTCGTTCGAAAAAGTTGGGGAAATCTTCAATTATTAGCTTTTCGAGGAATATCGAGGAATTCGAGGAATATCGATTCTATAAAGTTTCTGCTCCAATCTACAAGAAGAAGTAGAACAAGGATAGACTTGGGAAATAAAATTAAAATGAAGCCACAGTGCGTTATCTGTCGATGGGTGTATAGGCAGACATAATAAAGCTGCTGTTTGCATACTGCCTTCAATTACCTGTTCGCTGTTGCCTCGACGATCCGAAGACAGCGCGTGAGTCGCAAAGGCGAGATCGAAATGTTACATGAAACGTCAAGGGTCGTGCGGTTAAAAAATCAATAACATGCAAATTTGCGTATAACCGTTGTAGCGGCACGTTTATTCTAGTCGCATTATGAAAATTAACGCATAAAGTCATAGATACTTATTTATGTATTTTTCTAGATTAACTATGGAAGATAAATTATGAAAATATGATAAGTCGTCACAATGTGAACTTTAAGCTTGCATTTGTAAAAATCAACATACTAAATTCCATTGTGTGACTTTATATTTTTCCTTTCTTATTAAATTACAAAAAAAAAACAATTTTTATTAATATTAAAATTATAATATTTATTAAATTATGATATACTTCTAAATTACATTAATAAATAAATATATATTTATTCATTTATTTATTTATTTATTAACGTATCCAAAAAATAAAAAGTTAAAGGATTTTAAATTTTGAGATCATAGGCTCTCTTTTTCCCTTATTTAAGAAGTCGATAATTGTTAATTAATAAAACGTAAAATAAATTAAAATCGACACTATTGTTTCAGTAAAAAAATTAACTTAAATAATTATTACTAGTTTTGTTTAGGAAAATATAAAATCGGTAAATGTAAAATGAAAGAGCGAACGGATCTGGTTTGAAAGCAGGAAGGGTCGGGTTGTGCTAACATGCTGTCGAAACATGATACAAAATGGTGTTAGTCGATGGTAAACGCGTTCCCTAACGGTTAATGGCATGGAAAAGAGGGTGCGAGTTTTTCTATGCTAATTGCGCGTAATGATGTGCGATAACATTCCGAACACGGCGGAACGAGGAGTAAAAAGTTTTGGAAGAGACAAAGGCAAAGTGTTCGCATGAAAGAGTAAAAAAAAAGAGAGAGATAATGTACTAGAGGAGCTCTGTGTTTCACCATGATGACTACAAAACCACGTTAATTACCTACTCTTTCCTGTTTGTTTGACGAAAATATATCAAGTATCTTCCCTGACGAGATGTGACAAATAATTGTAATAAATGTAGATGTAAAATTATTTCGACAGATTTATTAAATTATTAATTCATGAAACGAGTTTATCGTGATAGAATATTTTTTTGATTATTTACAAAAAAAATTTAATAAACAGGAAGAAGAAGGTATTATATTTATAACAATCGCTCTATTGAATGAAACTCTGATTGATTAAAATTTTTTTATTTCTTTATCTTAATAAAATTCAAAAGAATAAAAAGAAGTTTTATCGCGTTTGTTGGTATTGTATGATGTTTCACTTATACGTGACCACCTTACCTGAGAGGGGATCCTAACGGTGTCGCGACACCGAATCCCTTGGCATCGAGATTTCTTCCGACTTTCATCGTGTCGCAGGGCTCTCTCTCGTTGGTGTAGTCATTCATCGGGCTCTCGATTAAAAATGCGTATTTGCCCTTACTCGTTCTCACTCTTCGTATTCCCTCCTCGTAGGATTTTACGAATACATGCTTCCGCGAGTTCATGAACTCCCACATCTTGCTATAGAGACTGATCTGAGATTTCTACAGATAAATGAAATAAATGTCAGTGCGATTGCTAAATATGCGTTAAAATTTAATAAACGCTCGTGATATTACAAGAATTACAAGAGAGATTAGGTGTTGCTCGTGAACACTCACTCGAAAAAAATCCATCGTAGCGCCATGAGCGAGAGTGCCATACTGGACATCTGTCTGCGCCGCTAAATCCTCGGGTGAGTTAATTGGCGTGACCATTCTCTCGATGGTTAAAAATGCAGCGAGATTTGCGGTATAGGAGCATATTAAAATCAGAGTGAAAAACCACCAGACGCTGCCAGCTATGCGGCCAGATATGGATCTGTTGATCAAAAAATTCGAAAGTTATTATTTTAAAACAACAACAAGTATAATAAATGTTATTATTTTAAAATAACAACAAGTATAATAAATGCACAGCACACACAGAATATAAAGACTTAAATATTTCGTAAAATCTCCGCAGAAAATCCCTTCTTTCATCGAATTTAAACACAACGCATGTATATCATAATGCTAATTTGAAATTACATAATTACATTTTGATCGTTGCAATCAGAGTCGTTGACAAGATAATCGTAGACAAAAAATTCGATGGAGATTCTTAATTATGCTTACTCATATCGATTTAAGTCGGATCTGCGAAAGATGAGCATCGAGAATCAGGCGAGAAGAGAACGAGAAACATGGAGAAGGAGGGCAGGGGGAGGACATGGTGGCCACTTGCGCGGGTTCCACGAAATTTACAATTCATATCGCCGCCATGCGAATATTTAAACCATTAATCAAGAGAACTAGTAGGATGGGGTGGTGCACTGGATACAGCCAAATGTAAATTAATTGAGACCCAGTTTCGAAGTGAGCACGCGGTCTGCTTCGCGTAAACGACAAAACGCGCGCGTTCACTTTTGTTGCAACTCCATAGGAATATATGCAGTTTTGGTGAGACAGTGTTTCCCAATTTGTGTGTGACTTCCGTATTATTTTGGATGTCGTAGCTCTAATATTATCAAGCTACAAAAATAATAATAAATAATATAAAAGAAAAAGAAATTGTTTATATAATAAATAAAATATTAATATAATAAATAAAATAAATAATAAAAAGGTAGAAATTAATATACTGTTATTTTATTTGCAAACAAATGATAATTTAATATTATTTGTTTTGCCTTTAAGTATGTCTGATAAAGTAATTGGCAAGTTATTATATTCTTGACATACTGCATAAACTATTTTAAAAATGTAAGAGTAGAAAGAAAAATAATGGAACGTTATTCAAAGAAAAATATTTAAATTTTAATGAAAATAGCAAAAATTTTCTATTCTCTCTTAAAACTAACAAATGTATTATGCATATCAATTGGGTGTATGTATTGGACGCTTGAAGAAACAAAATGTGATTTGAATTCTATCATGTATGCGCAACATGCTTTAAAGCACAATATAGCACTGTCACGTGAATGTTCTATTCATGCTGGACTTTCCTATCCAACTAGAATGTTTTGAATATGCGAGCAAATTATGCTTTGTTTGTAGATGTGGCACTTGTCCGTAGCCTGAAGTGCTTACTCGAAATCATTATCTAACCTGCGGCGTTATATATTCCAAGAAATATATGGTCGGGGACGTTTCGATGCGATGCTAACTATATATCTCTGGAAACAATAACTTTTGTGCATCGAGAATTATCGTAAGACTGAAATTCAAGAAGATCGTTATATCAACGGAACATATAAGTCTCAACAGACACTTTGAAGGACAGTTAATTTAAAAAATGTAAAATTTCTCAAGCTATAAAACAGCCGAAGGAAATCCTTCTCTTTGGTTCTTTAATATACCCAACTTCCACAAAGACCATTTCCATAATTTATAACTCTTTAATTAAAAGAGAGAAGAATTTCTTGCCTCATCTTACTATTTCTTACTTGATTTATTTATTGTCAACTCTTTAATATATTGTATTTTTATTTCTTTTAATTTATAAAAAGATGCTTTGTGAAAGTTTCTCAATTCATTCATTTGAATGATGATCGTATCGGTTTATCGATCTTACTAAACTGATTTTATGGCATCGATTAAATATGTCACTGAACACGTGTGTAGATCGGTATAACCATCAAATCAAATCAAATGCAACACATATGGAGAAAAATTATTGCATGAAAACATGTGAAATAAAACTGACAGAGCATTGAAAGATGTGCAAATAAATACGTGATCGATACACATGTCGCGTCTGGAATTTTTGCACGTGCGGTACGCTTTATTCAAATGAGTCTGGTCTCGCGCGGCCATAATCGTTCAGCTATTATGAAATCGGTCTCAATCACGTGTCACGATAAGGCAATTTTATTGCGAATGTTCTGATTTCTTTCCCGTAAATTGCACGCATACACAAATAAAAATCAGTTATTATAATTCAAATCATAATTATTGTGCAACGCTCCAATCTCTGATCAACCTAGGTTTGCCCGAATGCTTTCTATCATTAGCAGCGAGTATATTCGATTGTACTACATCGGCAAATATATAGTAATTCGTAGCTTAAGCACATTTATATAGCATGATTGAAGCGGTGCGCGAGATAAGAGCGATTGAAATGTTTGCTAATGAGAGTATAATGACGGTACTGATGATGATAACGCGTATTTATCGTGAGAATAATATAAAGGTATGCGAAAGCTGTTGCGAACACACAAGACCTCAAATCATATATGATTTATATATTTGTAATAATCGCATGTGCCCCTTTACAGAGGAACAAGTGTATAATAAGTCAACAACAGTGAACGATTTTTAACTTAAGATACGTACACACATGCAGGGAATGTCCTAGAAAAGTCTTCATTTGATAAATACTTTGACAAATGTACGCGATCGACTTCTTTTTCATATTTGCATGTAACGCACGAGGTGACATAATCGATCTGCGAAACATAGATAATCTAAGATCGTTAATTTGGCTGTATTTAACGTGAAACGCTGTAAAAGCCTGTTTAAGTCAAATGTCCACCCACGTTGAGAGGCGCTTTAACAATTTACACGAGAGATTTTAAACGTCAACCAGAGAGCTCTTATAGAATCTTGCCCGATTCATCCTATTACCGGGCTGTACGCTCGACCTATCCCGGGTAAAGGGAGCTATTCTCCCTGTGCCTTTATGTACTTACCTGCGCTTATACTGCGGAAACGGAAACGGAGGGAGGCAAGAGTGGGTGGTTATAATTAGCCGAGAAGGACGTGGGAGTCACTTGCGCGCGCCGGTCACTTTCTCCCTCTCTCTCCTTCTCTCTTTCTCTCTCTTTTTCTTTTTCTTTTTCTTCTTTTTTTCCTTTATTTTTTCACAAGTTCACTTATCCACTCTCCAGATAAATATCTAAACCGAATCTCCCGGCTAATTGCGAAATTGCACAGTTGCACATGCTCTGTTTACACGAATACTCGCACGCTAAATGCATTTTTTAAATGTTGAGCTCTGACGATTGTGAAATTTTTTCGCAAATATGAGGCTGCTTGTATTTGTTTCCGTTTCCAATATTCCGATAATTGAACTTTAAATTAAATTTCTGTTAAAGTTGATGAAAGGGACAGAAAACAAGTTCTGTGGAATTAATATTAGATGAAAGAGAGACCAAATTTTGACGTTATTTAAAAAACATTGGTAATTGTGGTATCGAGAGCAATCGAACAAGTAAAATGTCGAAAGGCATGTATTTATGTGTATGAATTTTAACGAAATTTGATTTGCTTCCGGGATACGCAATATATAGCAATTATCATCGTAATTTATATGCAGCTAGCAATCAGATGAGAAGACAAAAGACTCTTTAATATGCGGTCGTTATTCATTAAAATTCGAAGTCCATACAAAACATGAACTGACATTAAATCCGGCGATTAGAAAAAATTAAACATTGTGCTCGCAACAGGAGTGCCTTTTCGTCCACGACCAAACGTTAATTACTGTCGGAAATTAATAACGCAAAGCATGTTTACCTGGGCGAGATATCGCAGCCCTGTTGCATAAACGCCGCCAGAGCAAACCAGAGGCTATTTACGATACTAAAGTCGTTGGCCATGCTGGAAGTTGGCATGTGGGGTGAACCTTGCGGTGTATGCGGATGCTGCAAACTGGGATCGTTTCGTCCGCTAATAGCTGAATCCGTGCTACCGCTGATGGTGAGGACTCTCCACTCGTATGGCGAAAACCTATATTGTTAAAAACAGAGAAAGAAAATAGAAAAAAATATTTGATTAATGTTAAAGATGTTTGAAATCTCTTAGACATTTTTATAATTACATATTTTAGATACATAAGTCGATTATATTTTATGTATAATACATATCTATATCCCCTTTAAGAATGACTGAAAAATGATTATCGACATTAAATGAAATATAATGTTGATTCTATATAAACTTGATAATAACTGCGTTCTAATTGGTCACATAAAAAAAACTAAATTGTTTTACAATAATATGAAATAGACTGTCATAAGAGTCTTCAATAATTATGACGATAATAAATATGTTTCGAAATTAATTCGTTATCTAAAAGTCTAAATAATAATTTTAAATGTGTTTTAAAAGTGAGAGTCTATTTTAATTCTAATTCCGACGATCTCATATTTTTTTTCAGTAATATCACGCGCATATCGTACGCATCAGCCAATTAAACTAAGTCTTAAGCATTGGCGTTCAAAGAGTCTCATTAATTAAGACGCTACCTAAAAACTTTCTCGATTTGCTCATTATGCCTTCGTTAAAGCAACCGAGAGTTCTTGCAAATGTTCCGTTCGAGGATTCCTCTATATCAGTATGAAAATAACGAGCAACTTAAATAATTATTTTTTTTTCTTTTTTACCTTTATGCATTAATATTTAATAGCGTCTTTTCGTCGAAACGTTTCAATCGCGATACAAGAGACATAAATACATAGTATAGGATAACGTAGAATAAAAGAGCGCAACAAGAATATATTGCGGCGTGTCAACATATTTTGCTGACCACATCGCGATAAATACACTTGTAATTGCCGCACCTTGACACGTAACTGTGACAGTAGACACAAGGTCTGTACTAGATAGGATGAAAGTTAATAGACGATTTGTGACTGTAATTAATGTTAATTATTATTAACAATAATTGAACGCAGTCATTTTTTCAAAATTAGTTTAACTGTAATTATTGAGTTAAAATGATCTAATAAAATATGTAAGAGATACAATAAAGTATGTTTCGACGATCATCAGCAAAAGTAAAAAAAAAGATAAGCTAATACATGCCAATCTGTTGATTCGTGCATTATTATATTTAATTTAAGAATGCAATTTTCTGTATTGCCTATAAGAAAATAACAAGTCTCTCGATAAAAAGTTTCTTACCTCGACACAATAAATAGGACGATAGAAACTGCGATGTAGGAAAAAATGACGCACACCCAGATTTCCTTGCTCAGCGGATTCAGAAAACTGAAGACTCCGGATTTTTGTTTGATGGGTTTTTTTATCATAATGCTGATGCCGAGAGACATAAACGGTTTACTAAAATCGATCACGCGTTCCCGGTCGGAGGTGATAGTTATGGGAGCAATCGCTATGTCGGCTTCCTGCAAATCAAATTGAATAACTGATATAAATCTCAACGTGCAAAGATAATAAAAGACCATTTCTTGAATAATTTAATTTAAAAATAGGTTGTAATAAATATCGATTTAAAACTAAATTTTAAGTAGATTTGGAAATTTTTTGAAAAAGCTAAGCATTTTATATGTAAATAATTAATTAATATGTATATTTCTGCAGCAATTTATTATGATAATTGTAATAATGATTAATAGATATCTTAGTTCCATAATATTTCTATTCTTCAATTATTATTATATTCATGATTGTGTAGTTATTTAAACAATATAATTAAGAAAAAAAACACAATTATTACATAATTTAAAAATCTTATGCCTTGTGATATATTTCTCTGTTATTTTTCCTATTCATTTCCTATTTGAAATATCTTCAAAATGGCAGAAGCTCGCATATCTACATGAGATGCAACTAAAAGCTCGGTTGCTTTGGGTTTATTCTAAATTCTCGCGAGATGGAGCTTAAAATCGGTTAACGATTGACGAGCTTGCAAGCTCAGGGCATCTAGTGGAATAGGTTCAAACTCGCTATCGAGAGATAAAACAGCTTCTTGGTAGACCATCTTCTATCGCAACCGCGCGACGATCAATATTCTCTTCTTTCGAGAAGCTGGATTCAATCACTTGAGGCGTCTTTCCGCGTAAACTTCCGGGGGGAACCGGTTTCGGGAGAGGAAAAAGCGCTGAGGATGTAGCAGATACAACGAAATTACCGGAACTTACCTTTCTGATAAGCTCCCCGACCATGCCGTCCCAGCCACCCGGGACGTCCTGGTTTTCCTCGCCGTATTTTCCGTCCTTCACGATCCGCAGCTCGTCTGAAAATTCGTAAGAAAGTACTTTACGAGGCGCGCGAAACACCATTTCTTTCGCGGAACTTTTTCCATTATCGATTCCGCGCGCGGAAGAGGCTTCGTTACGTCCCTTAGATACTTGTCAAGGTGGGGTTGACTTCGGCAAATTTTGCCCATAATAAAAGTAATTTTCTTGCTTGAGTTGTGAATTTTCATACGAATTAGATGAGAATCGTTAGCGTTAATAATTAAAAATTATTTGAAAATAGGCACAAACAGTAAAAAATAAATAATACTTCAGTTTCTTTTTTTTATCATTATTTTATTACCATGTTAAATCCAATAAATGAATTTTAAAAGTAAATGAATTTTAAAAAGATAAGCTATATTTTTCATTAACTGGTTATTTAATGTTTTGACACTAATAATTAAATGATCTACTTTGATGTTAAATATTGTGTAAATAATGCATGTATTAAATTTATATAGTTATAAACTTACATAATAAATATACATAATACACGTATATTTATATATATACATAAATTTATCAAGTATTTTTATATTTTTATATTAGAAATTTAAATTTAATAATTTTTAATCACCATTAAATATTTAATCATCATTAATTATTCTTATATGTTAATGTAATTTTTAAAAGCAACTTTTGCTGTTACTTACATGATATGCCTAATCTTTTGGCGATGAGATCAGCCAAGTCTTTACAATATCCTTCATAACTATCATTTCCAACTAATACTTCACCAGTGTCCGATATTTTCCTCATTATATAAGGATCGTCCTATACAATTAAAGTTATAATATTAATATTAAACAGTTCATGTTAATCTCTTATACAAATTAATTAAAAACATATCAGTTATAGAGACTTACCATTATTGTAGTAACGATGTAAGTTTTATTCTTCTCAACTTCATGAGGACGAAGTCGCACATATTTTGCGGCTATGGCTTGAAAACCAGTTTCATCGGTCCACTCGGCGACCTACAACGATAAATCATACGATATAGTTCTCTTAATGTAAATCTGTTGGAATAGATATTGCGAGTTTGCATAAGAAGAGAATACATTCAGAGATAACAAAAAAGTATAAGATAGTAACTATATTACACGGACATTTATTTGGAAAACAATAATTTAATTGAAAGAAAAGTTATTTAAAAAATGTCAAATTAGGAATTATATAAATACATATTATTTTGTAAAAATATATATGTATGTATAACGTCAAATAATCGTTTATGTATTTTTTTATGAAACAGTAGTAAAGACTCACTTTCACCATAGCACTATTGACAGTCATTTCGACGACATGAAGCGTATAATTTTGTCGTCGACCATCGTCATTGAATCGTATCTCTCCCGTTAGTCCTTCGATCTCAACCTGCAAATGAATAAACTTGAATCATGTATTTCATTTATATATACAGCTGTAGAAACAGATATGATATCTGTTTACTTGTTATCATATATTTTTATGAAAGAATAAAAGAAAAACTGTAACATATTATAAATGAAAAATAATATAAATCTCTCATATGCTTTTAATGACAACAATTGTAATAAAATATATTGTAAAAATATATTTGGAGAAAATTAATAAATATAATAAATATAAATAAAATGAAAATAAATAAACTTTTCTGTATTATTGTTAATAATTAATTTACGATAGTAACAAGTGAAATATAATTCAATGTATGTTATCATTTAGTAGAAAAATTTTATTTTTGAATGAAAACTAAACGATATTACGTCTATTAGAATTTATTGGAAAATATTGTGTTGACCGTAATTTTTTACAATATTTTTTGTTGTCATCGAATTTAATATTGACATGATAAATCGTCAAACGGCAGCGGATTAAAAAGCAAAAAAGAGTACAAAAATAACGACATGTGTACGTAAGGGCAGAATGACGGAGGACTATTTGACGCGAACGCAGGAATTCCGTTAGAGTCGGAATAACCGCCAATTACTGTCAAGAGCAGAGATACGTAGAGGAGGGTCCCTAGCAATTTCGGTCGCCACGGTATTTCGCAACACATTGAGTACCCCTGTCCTTTGAATTGCGCTTTGGGAATTTGAAAACAAATTATGTAATAGGCAAATAGACGTATAATCGTGTACATATTTGCCTATTATTATTAAAATATAAATTCTGTCAATACAACAGTGTGTTATATAATAATGCGCAACTATATTAAATTAAAATCGAAGTAGTAGAAATCTTCAAAATTTTACATGCAAAAATTAATGCTAATTCGCGCATTATATTTATTTATTTAATTATTCGCGTATTATATTTATTTAATTTAATAGATTATAATGGATAGTTTTTGTTGAATTAGAAGTAATATTATAAGAAAAATTAGATTATACATTTTAATAATTATAATTATTATATATTTATTTATACATATATTTTTAAATTTAATTTACAATAATCATGAAAAAGTTTTGTGTTCTTATTAATAAGATTGAGTTACCTTTCTTAAAAATTTCGAGATTTTGTCGCCATGTTCCCACGGAGTGACCCAGCCACGATTGTTGTAGCAATCTAAAGTTTTTGTTCCGTTTATGGGCTGATTACTGCTTGGAGTTCCTATACGTCGTGTATTATTTTTATCAGTTCTTTTTCTCAAAAACTTGTTGAAAGCTTCAACCAAGACGAACACGGCGTCATACATCAGAGCGGCTTGTGCCTAATTTTGACACATGTAAAATAAATTATTTTAAATGGAATTTACGTACAAGTATATTAATTTTCACAAAATTGGAGAGAAAAAGGAAAAAAATGGACTTTCTCTTCAAACTTTCTTTCTCTCTCTCTCTCTTCTTTTTTTTGCTGTTTATCGCAATGTATTGATTTTCAAAAACAAAAAATGAGAATTCGAAAAAAAAGTGTTTTAAATTTTTCCTCTCGTGCACAAAATCCCGATGAGATCAAGAATTTGGCGAGATCGAGAAGGGGATTTATCGTCATGTGAGATGTACGTAAATTCGCAGAGACTAGAGTACCTCGGGCACTTCGCCAGTGTTGGAAAACCGCGCTCGGTGCTCGCTGAATATAACGATTGAGCACGATAATCGTTGCATTAGATTGCATGCAGCCTGTCTCCGAGAGAGCTTTTAGATCCATAGATACTGCGTTACCCAACCTTATCCAGGAAACCCGTTAGCAGAGTGTATCCATTTTAAGGATTATAGACGCCCCTTTTTGTGGTACAGCAAAAATCATGCAAAACAATCGAATATATTTCTCAGTATTTGCAAGACTAGACATGGAAGTAAAAATGACAAATAAACGTACAATAATTATAATTGGTAATTCATATTCATATCATATATATTTCGATAATTAATAAAATGTAGCAAATAAATAAGATCTCCCTTCTTGAAAAAAATTAAATCAAGACATTTTTGCTTCAGCAATAACACATTACATCTCGAGTAATTGCGACAAAATTTTTTAATGATGACATATAAGTACATTGCAGTTTTATATTTTTTATTTCAATTAATTTGGTCGACCTAATGATTATCGTGAGACGAAAAAGTGTTTCGTGCAACATCATATGTACTAGAGAGTTGTGTCGCCGCGCATCGTTAAACACTGGTTAGTTTTTGCTGGATCTGTACAAGAACCTGGGAAAAAAATGTTAACGCGCGGACGGAAGAAGAGTCATTAAGAGAAACGTGAAACACGGTTCGTGCGGTACGGTCGAGCGAGCGGCACTTTATAAACGGGCTGAAAAGTCCAAGTTTCTACATGCGGGTGCAGTTTAACAAGTTTGGTCTCAAGCCACTGTACACATAGACAGAGAAAGAGAGAGAGAGAGAGGGGGGGGGAGGAAGAAAGAACGCGCACGCGAACGGACCGACACCAGCAATGATTCTTGTTTGATTCTAGTTCCTCGTATGAGGAACTTTCGTCGTCGTCGACTGACGACGACGAAGAAACCTGAGAAAGTATTCGGACCCACTGAGGGAAAATCGCTGCGCTCGAGAAGCGAGGATTTCGCAGTTTTTTCCCCGGACGCAAACTGTGGAAGTGGCGAGAAGCCCTCCGACGTCGGCGGAGGACAGACGTCGGGTGAGGAAAAAAGGACGATGAAGTCTCGTAGGAGAGATGCTGGATATATACGTAGATATATATATACGTACGGAAATGGATTCACGACCGGCTTGAGATATGGCGGGATCCTGGCGATGCCAGCCGGCCAGGAAGTCCTTGACGTGAGGTCGAGTGACATCCACGATGCGAAAGCCCGTGATGTTGATGGCGCCAAACTCGATCACCTCGCTCTCCCATCGGTCGTCCATTATCTGATTACAGCGAAACACACGGGATATTGATATATGAAGGAAATGCGTCGAGTGGAGTCTGTGAGATGCGCAGGGCTATATTCTTGCTCGCTTGTGTGATAAAAGGTTGTTATCTTACTCCTTTCCTTCGATGCTGCAAGGAGACGGTATATAGCCTCGCGAAGGCATCCGCCCAACAACGAGGTCCTTGATCTTTCGTCTTGTCGTGTCTTCAAAGTCAACTCGAGGATAGGCACTCGAGTCACTGTTATATTATTACGGCGCGTTATTACCGCGTTTCCTTTGTTCCTTATGAAAAACGTAATGGGACTGAGACTCGATTCCAATTCGGACCTGCCGTCCTATTTAATTACTCGAGCTCGAATGCAGCTCCGCTTTAGTTTTACGCTGATATTGCCGCTGTTACTGCGCATTATGCGCGACGCGCGAAACCTCGAAATAGTGAAAAGCTCGTTCCTGTTAACGTGCGCTAGTTTTTTCGAACGAAATGGGAAAACAAGGAGAGGGAAAATCGATACGTCTGCGTTTCGCTATCGCAAACGCGCATTATGCTTGCAAAACAATAATAAGTCCAATTAAAATCGAGATTACTTATTTTCGCGATCGTTAAACTAACGAGCAAACTATGGAGAATAAATTTCGTTTGAGGGTTTCCAGAAATGACACTAGTATGATACTGAAAACAAAACTTTAGAAAATACGCATAACAAACAATAATATCGTTCATAAAATTAAGCCAATAATGTCCGAATTATTAGATTCGTTATTATTGAAATTTTTCGCAGCTACGGCTGATCCATTCGCTACTTTACTACTGCGCGGTTAGCTACCATCATCCATCAAGCGACTAGAGATAATGCATGGCCGTTGTATTAATGTTGTATGCGTGTTTAACTTCGTCGCGAATGAGTTCGGCGTGTTACCAGTTTAATTTGTCGGTCTGATATCACCGCGTCCGCCGCGTTGACTTTTGAACTTTTGCATCCGCGGTTAGGGAGCGGATAAAGTTTTGTAATATCCAGCTTCACTAGTTGTTGAACAACTATTAGTCTTAAAAATCCGAGCTTAAAATGTTGAAAAAATAAATACGGAGATGAATAAACGCGAAATAATATAACTTTAACAAGTAGAAGATTTATTAATAAATTCTCCATTTTATAAACACGAGGAATGTAATAATTAAATTTAAATGATGCGATAAGCTCCAAGAATAAATCAAGGGAATTTAAAAAATATTTATTTTCCAACTGTTTATAAATTGTAATCAATAAAATGTAAAAAACTGAAGAATTTTCGCTTATTTTTGGCTAACAGCTTTAGCTTTTTCCGTTTTATTTAAGCAAGAGACTAGAATTTTGTGGATTTATAAATGTGTCAATAGGGATTTACATGTGAAAAGCGATATTATCCAAAGAGCTAGTTAAGTCGTCGTCAGCAATCGTCTTCTGGTCGTTGAATCGTCAAGTCCGATGGACGTGAAAGAGAGAAGGAAGTAAAAGCAAAGGATGAGAATTCCGGAAAGCAGGAAAATGTGCGAATCGACACGTCTACGCCTTGCTGGCGCTAAGCAACCGTTTCGAGAACGACGCGATAAATGACAATGGCGGTGCCTCGTAGAAACGGAACACTAGAGATGTACATGCAGGTATGTACAACTATCTTCGCCGTCGTCGGAGTGTAATGCCGCCTGTTCTTCTGCAGCAACTCGCTGGAAGCCGCTAAACACAAGCAAACTGTCCTCTAAATTCTAAAGTACGGAGGAGACATCACCGACGAAGATCTTGCCCTCCCACGACGGAACGTTTCGTGTCAGTTTGAGCGACGGGTTCTCGGTTGTTTCGAAAATTTCGGCATGCTGCGAATTAATCTCGTACACCAGACGGTATACAAGTGAGAGCACTTTCGCGTAGTAAAGCGAAAGTCACTATTTTGCATACGGCATATTCTCTGAGCTCGAGAAATTTACGAAAATTATGAAATTATCAATTTCTAAATAAATAATATTGTGTATTTATACTGCATATATGACGTGTAAGAACAGTAGTTTTTTTATTTATTTTAAGATAAGAGATTTTAAACTTCAATTTTATTTTTCTATGAAATATTTAAATCTTTTCCTTTTTTTTTTATAATTGTGTGATACGTAAAATATAAAAAAAAAACTTTTTATTTGATATATAAAATCTCCGTGAATAATATTGTTTTTATATATTCGAAACGTTAATGTGTATATAGGATTAAAGAAACTATCCTATGCAAGCGATCATTCTTGATGCGACAAATTTTATTCGGATAATGGGACTTGGAAAAATTAACTACAAAAAAATTTTATTTCGCAACTTACCAAGCCACTCAGCAGATAATGATACGTCCTCTTTCCCAAAGCTATATCCCTCACGTGGCTCACAACAATATCCTTCGCCATATCCGTCGGACAGTCGAGCACGACGTATTTATTGCTCCATCTAAAAAAATTTAACGTGCTTAAAATGAATTGTTCGGAAAGAGGAGAAAAAAACGTTCGCATACGCGCGACATTGCATTTTCCATCGGAAAAGCGACATAAGTCACGCGCGCTAGTTCGCCGCAATTCACGTGTCACGTTAACGTGCGGCTTTGTCGCATTTGATCGATGCACCGCGAAGTTTCCATGCTCATTTCGTTTGTAATAATTGGATATTGTATGGCAATTTGTAATAATGCCATTGTTTTCGGTTACTATTACTATGTTTGGTCAATTCAAACTACCGTCATGACAATTACTCGCTGTTGTTGATTACTTGCATCGTACAAATGTTGTAGCCGCTAGTGAATTGTAATGCCAAGCACGTAGCAACTCGTGCTATGATCAGCCTTATCCGTCACATTGTCGTTATTTGCAAAATAACAATTGTGTGAAAACATTAGTATAGAGATAAGATTAGTATTACAATCGCATTCTCTTTTATCCTTTCTAAAAGAAGACATGAGAAAACTTGAAATTTCTTCTGCGATTTCTTCAAAAATAAATGTATTGTAATCAAGTATTTTGCAAAAAAAATTCTTAATTATAATATTATAATTATTATACTATTATTCCACATTTTTGTGCAATGTAATTTTAAAATATAAAACAAATTTTTGTAAGATAATAATTCAAAATATCACATATGACATTATTTAATTTTATTGAGGAAATTTTCATTTATCTTTATGATATCCGATAAAAGACTATATCAAAGTGTATATTTGTAGTTATGCTGCGTATAAAAGAAATGAAAAGATTTATTGTAAGATTTATAACTAGGTATATCAAGTACTAATTCCCGAATATTCTTAGCAAGAGGCTTCGTATTCCTTTTATGTGTTTCAGCGAGAAAATAATTACCGGTTAAGTTCTTCAAGACTCCGTAGAAAATCAATCGCCTCCGACATATTCTGTATTCTCTTGACGGTTTCGACTTGAAAGGACTCGTTGCCTGGTTTCAAGCCCTGATAAATCTGCTGCAGCCTGAGCAGTCCTGAAACCCACGAGCGTTTAATTAAATTATAGGAAACGCTTATATGCGCGTCCCACGCTACATGGGTTCGACATAGGCTCGGTTACCACTCGCCGATGTATGCGTCTTCCGAAAATTACATACGCACGATTGCGCGTTACATAGACCGTGTCGTAATTCATTGGCAGCCTCTGTTCAGTCTGCGGTTTCTCGCGCGGTGTGAAATATTGCCTGTCTACGGTTTGCGCCTCTAAGTTATAGAGAGTGCCGTAGATTGTTCGATTTGACCCGCCTCGTATTTTTGGCAATGACAACATTTAATCGCGTGGTAATGCGGCTCCCTAGTATGTGACTCGTCGTTAAAATATCAAAATGTGATGCATTCTCGGAATATAACCTATAGAGAAATCTGGTTTTATATTTCTATGGATAATGGGGGGATGTTCGGTATAAGTACATACTTCTATGTAGCATTATATGTTTCGTTTTAAATTATAAAAAAATTGTAATAATGCAACACGAGAGTGTATATGCACACAGAGAGAAATAAAAGAGTCACAATATTCATATCTTATAAAAGTAATAGACTGTTATTCTTTTTCAACAATGTTTAAGAAATTGGTTTTTAAATAACTATGGTAATTGTGCGTGTTTTTCTCTCTCATTTCCCGCTTCTCCGGTTAACTCGGCGAACTTAAAAAATACATCGCACAGAAAATTGAAACATAATAATCGCTCGAAGTACATATTCGTATATCCTTTTATAAGTACAATAGATGTGAGAACTAGAGAATATTTCTCCATAAATCCGTAGAAATTGCTAAATTCGTAGAAAGAGATTCACCGATCTTTACAAATATATACGTATACATATTCACAGACCCATAAGCACATATAAATACACGCGTAGTGCGCTCGCTGTTTCTGGCAAATATACAGAACTGTTCGAATTATATGCAGTACGTTATCGTGAGATACGATCAAATATCAGTAGATGCTCACGCGCATGCTGCGAGGTACAACGGGAACGAGCAGAGTTCAGAGGCTAGATTCTGATCGGACATCTCGTAAATTCGGAGGAATCTACGGCATGATCTGTTACAAAATAGGGAAGCGCTATTTTAGTCGCGCTCATTGCACCCCGAAGCCGCGCCAACGTTTTAACCGCCTACCCTTCGGCACACTTCGGGCCATTTGCCCCCGGCATAACAATGCACTCGAACCCTCGCTCCTCGCTCGTACTCGTACTTGTCGTTACTTTTACGATCGCGATTACTCGGCGTAAGTTACGACGTAAAGAATTTTTGCTCGTGTCGCGGTCCCGCGATGAAAACATCGGCCGGGAAAATACCAGCGGGAAAAAAGATTGGCAAGACGCGGAACGACGCTTCCGAACATCGCAGAACTCGAAAAAAGAACAGTTATGAAAGAAGGGAGAACTTTTACACCAGAGAGAAATATGTAACAAGAACTGGGTTCCGTGATTCTTAAATGCGTTTCTTAATATTTCTCTCGGTGAGCGATGTCTGCTTCGGAAAATTAAAATTGTTTCTATATTAAAAATTTTTGTGATTTTATATATTTTGCACAAATATATATAAGTATGTATATATGTTTATATTATAAATATTACAGCTATATGTGTTGTTACAGTTAGCTATACATGCCAGATTTTGTTTTTCACGAAAATAAAACTTGGCATGCGTACAGTTGTAATATTTGAAATATACTAGGTGTATATTTGTCCTAAATATATAACATTGCAAAAATTTTTAACGCGTAAACTATTTTATATGTGTTCACATGTGTAAAAGAATTAGAAATTAAGACTTATTTTGGTAAACTATTTTATACTATGTTTTTAATTGTGTGTGAAAATATTATGTTAGAAAAAATGAAACGCTCTTTGGCTGTGAATTTTTTAATATCATTAATATTAATATTATTTTATCGCGATTAATCAATTTATTTTTTCTCTTTAGAAGATATATTTTTAAATTAAATAAAAATGGATATATTTAGCACACACATATATCAAAGAATATTTCACTATTAAATAAAAATATCTGCTTCTAATTAAAAACTGACCACGATAAACAAAAAAACGAAAAGCAATAATGTAGATTGATGCGAAAGCCGGATGCAGTAAACATGTAAGACATATATCTCTTGTAATATATTTTTTCCACCGTCAGGCATGAAAAAGATGATCAGGTTAACGAGCGCAAATCTAACGAAACTACAAGCGCACATGTATGTTCGCTCAAGTGTTGCAAAAGAACTTGACATTTCGATGAGTACCATTGCTTTTTCACGAACACCATTTTCACTTCAATTCTAACCCTTTCTCTCAGTGATGACTCTGGTATAGTCACCATTGTCTAGCTCAAAAATCACTTTCTTCTACATACATTAACTGCTCTATATTTGAATTGTTAACAAGTAGTTTAAAAAACAAAAGAATCAACATGAAATATGCTTTTATCATTTATGTATTAATTGAATATTAATAGAATATTTATGTGTAGAACGTAAAAATAAGTTTTTCAGAAATAATATTCAAAATTAATTGTATTAAATGTAATTTTATTATTCTCTCTCTTTCTCTATATAATTTATCTCTGATTATATTACGATCAATTATTATTTTTAAATATTCTAAAAAACAGAGAAAAATTTTTAATGGAAAAACAAAGCAAAAATGATTCAGCAATTCGAAATTTAATTGCACCAGATTAACATGATAAATTATCGCGATGGACTTGTATCGAGAGTACGATCTGTCACGTTGACATAAAGGATAGAGTTTTTAATTACGTCAATTTATATTTTCTGATGAAACTATAATATCAGATTCTTTTGCATCGTGGCAAACTTGTGATTCGTCGCCGAACGCACAGTTTGTCTGTCTGTACACCAGAAACTCATATAAACTACCTCGTTACTCGACGTGTTTCACACAAGCATCGCGTACAACTGATGTATATGATCCCTTTAGCTGTTATACTCGACTTCTAGCAAGAACAAGAGACGACAGTAATCGCAAGGTTGGCTTTGAAGTCCCGATGCTTGTTTGTAAAGCGTACGTGCACACATATTCATATTGTCAGAGGATATAGATCTATATGTGCGTGCGAAGTAAGTAATAATTTTGAAACTTTATAGAGGACCGTGACTCTCCCGACGCGAAGCTTTGATGTGTCGTCCGTTTCATTCGCGCAACAACGATTTCAGTATCGTGAACTTGGGCTATTTACGATGCACTAGAGAGTTTATTTGATCTTTCAGTAGCATAAAAATATTAGCAGGGAGTCTTTAAATTAAAATAAGGTTTCACTTTGAGTTACACGGGAATTTAATAATGTGTACAGATAAACATATGATGTTTTTGTTTATGGAAGATGAATTGAATTCTTTTCCTATACATGTTATGTTGAATAAAACAATGATAATTTAAATAATAATTTAGTGATGCGTACAAATAGATGATACGATAGTTTCTATCTATCGAAAATGAATTAAATAAGTCAGGTTTAGTACAATGATATTTGAATTCTAAATTTCTTATGTCATACCTGCTTAAAGTGATACATTTTGAATAAAAAATGGTGTGTACATACATATACTTTAATCATGATATTGTAATTTACATTTTACATAAGTTGTAACATTCAAAATTTGTCATATATATAGACTTTCATACAAAAATTTAACGTTTTCTTCTTAAATAGTGGTATAGATCTATTTTAATCAGACACGACAAAGAAAAATTTAGAATTCAATATATCTATATATGTACTTTAATTATTGTATAATATTATTATATATTTTACATTTTATATAAATTGTACCATTCAAAATTTGTCATATATATGAATTTTCATAAAAAAGGTGGATGTTTCCTTCCTAGATAGTAGTATAAATTTATTTTGAGCAGACATGACATAAGAAATTGAGAATTCAATATATTAATATACTTTAATTATGATCTTATAACTTACATTTTATAAGTTGTACTGTTCAAAATTTATCATATATATATATATATATATATATATATATATATATATATATATATATAGATATATTGAATTTTTAATTTTTCTTGTGTCGTGTCTGTTTGAAATGGATTTATACTACTATTTAAAAAGAAAACGTTTAACTTTGGTATGAAAATCAGTATATATATATATATATATATATATATATATATATATATATAAACGTTTTCTTTTTAAATAGTAGTATAAATCCATTTTAAACAGACACGACACAAGAAAAATTAAAAATTCAATATATCTATATATATCTATATATATATATATATATATATATATATATATATATATAGATATTTATTAAATTTTTTGTGTCATGTCAGCTTAAAATAAATTTATACTACTATCTAGGAAGAAAATATTCAACTTTTTTATGAAAATCGATATATATAATAAATTTTAAATGGTACAACTTATATAAATGTAAAATATAATATTATAATTAAAGTATATATATAGATATATTGAATTTTTAATTTTTCTTGTGTCGTGTCTGTTTAAAATGGATTTATACTACTATTTAAAAAGAAAACGTTTAACTTTGGTATGAAAATCAGTATATATATATATATATATATATATATATAACTTATATAAAATGTAAAATATAATATTATAATTAAAGTATATATATAGATATATTGAATTTTTAATTTTTCTTGTGTTGTGTCTGTTTAAAATGGATTTATACTACTATTTAAAAAGAAAACGTTTAACTTTGGTATGAAAATCAGTATATATATATATATATATATATATATATATATATATATAAACGTTTTCTTTTTAAATAGTAGTATAAATCCATTTTAAACAGACACGACACAAGAAAAATTAAAAATTCAATATATCTATATATATACTTTAATTATAATATTATATTTTACATTTTATATAAGTTGTACCATTTAAAATTTATTATATATATCGATTTTCATAAAAAAGTTGAATATTTTCTTCCTA